TCTCAAAGTCAAACACCCACAGGGGACAGAGAGGAGTGGTACTGCGGGGGCCAGAGAGTATGAAAGAGTCTAAGGGGGCCTGGCTGTCTCAGGAAACCCCCCTCTATTTTACAGACGTGGAAACTGAGGCACAGATGCACCCACGAGAGGCTCCCATCTTAACTCCTGCTTTGGATGACGCCTTAAGAGGGGCCTCAACCATCCCTCTAGCCCTGGAGAAGGTACCGGGCAGGACAGACAACCCCAGGCCCATGGGCAGGGCTGGGACCAGGGTAGGGGCTCTCAGAGGGAAAATGCCCAAGTTGGGTTTGTAGGAGGTCTCCCCCGCAAGGAGCATTTATTGAGTGCCTGTTGGCATGTCAAGAGGGGGAGGTTTCGGCTACAGGGAGACTAAAGTCAGTACTGAACCTCAAAGGATGGACAAAGGTCACCCTGTGCCATCATCAGCATATGCCAAGTGGCTGCTCTTACTATCTTTTACTTTTTAAACACTCATGAAGCCTTCATTATGTGCCTGGACTGTTCTATCAGAGGTTAGGGGAAGTGCAGCCGTCCCCCCACGATCAGCACAAGAGGGATTTGAGCTCAGATCCTCAGGCTTCAGGGCTCAAGGACTGGAGGAAATCACTGCACCCTCGTCACCTGCACCATCCTTATGACTCCCGACACCTTGTTCCAGCCCCTCCAGGTGAGCTACTGGCCTGAACCCCCGAGTGAAGGTCCCACCTCCCCTTTTCCCCAGCATTTGCCCACTGTTTGGGAAGCACAGAACAGCCTCTTGCCCCTCGAACTTCTACTCATCCTACAGAGCCCGACTCCTCTGATCCTCACCCCCAGGCACAGCCCCACCCCCCAGGCACTCTAGCTGCGCCCCAACTCGAGGGTGATCCGAGCTGGGCCGCCCCTGGACTTCAGCATGGGGGTCCCGGTGGGACTGAGGCCTCTGCCCTGCCCCCGCCGGCGCGACCCCCTCCCCCCTTACCTCCACGAAGTAGAAGCAGGGCAGAAGCGTCATGCTGTCCTTCGGGCTTTTATGCTTCTCCTTGGTCGAGATCATGGTGTCGCGGGTGCCACAGGCTGTGGTTGGAGGGAATAAGGCTGCCTGGAAGGGAGGCGCAGACTGAGTCGGGGGGCCTGGTACCGAGATGGCGGGGGGAAGGGCGGGCGAGGATGCGAAGGCACCGCCCAGGGAAACTGAGGCCAGGGGCGAGGGGTGTCCCGCGGCCTCCCCCGCGCACCGTGGCCCTGTCAAACCATCGGCTGCCCGCACCCCCACACCCCGGATGGGGTCGGGCGAGGAGGGCGGGGCCGGCCTGGCTCAGAGGGGGTCTTAGTCCGGGGCGCCCCCGCGTCGGGCGGAGGCCTCCGGGAGAACGGGGGTCCGGAGCCTCAGCGGCAGGCCCCTCACCTGGCGCGGGCGCTCGGAGGGCGGAGCGGGCGGCGCGGCGGCCCCGCTAAGCGCCGAGCACAAAGCACAGCCCCTCCCCCGCGGGAGGGGGGCCGAGGGGCGATGGGAAGGGGAGGGGCAGGCGGAGGGGAAGGGGGAGACGGAGGGGACCCCGCCCGGCCCGGAGACCCCGCGCCCGGAGGCCTGGCTGCGGCGCGAGGGGCGGGGGCTCTTTGTCTCGGCGCGTCGGGGGCGCGGCGCGCGCGGGTGTGCGGTCCCCGCCTCCCGGGCGCCCGCCGCCTCCGCCTCTGGGTCTCAGGGGTCCCCGCGTCCGGTCGGGGAGAGCGGGGGCTGGGGTCTGCGGTCTCCTCCCCGCCCAGGATAAGCCCCGGGAGCCCCCTCGTTCCTGGGCGCGGGGGCGAAGTCTGAGTTCCTGGGTCTCTGGTTAGCGCTTCGCCTCTTGGGTCTCTCCCTGTCTCTGCCGCCCCAGCCCAGCACCTCTGCACCCCTCCCTCGTGCCCACCGCTCGCCCGCACGCGTTTCCATGGCAAGAAACCTGGGCGCGCAACCATCGGGAGACAAAGAAGCTGGGCGGGGGTTTGCCCTCCCCCCAACCCAGCCTCGCCCCCGCGCCTGCCGGGGTCCAGGCCCCCGAGTCCTGGCTCCTAGCCAGGCGCACAGCCCTCACGGTGAATTTTTATTTTTATTTGTTTATTTTTTTAAAATATATTTTGATTTTTTGCCGAAACCGGTTTGGTTCAGTGGATAGAGCGTCGGCCTGCGGACTGAAAGGTCCCAGGTTCGATTCTTGTCAAGGGCCTGTACCTGGGTTGCGGGCGTATCCCCAGTAGGAGATGTGCAGGAGGCAGCTGATCGATGTTTCTCTCTCATCGATGTTTCTAACTCTATCTCTCTCCCTTCCTCTCTGTAAAAAATCAATAAAATATATTTAATAAAAAAATAAAATATATTTTGATTTTTTACAGAGAGGAAGGGAGAGAGGGATAGAGAGTTAGAAACATCGATGAGAAAGAAACATCGATCAGCTGCCTCCTGCACACCTCACACTGGGGATCGAGCCTGCAACCAAGGTACATGCCCTTGACCAGAATCAAACCTGGGACCCTTGAGTCCGCAGGCCCACGCTCTATACACTGAGCCAAACCAGTTAGGGCTCACGGTGAATTTTTAATATGTTTTCATTGATATATATATAAATATTATATATATTAATCCTCACCCAATGATTTTTAGAGAAAGTGGAAGAGAGAGGGAAAGACAGAGGGAAACCTCGATGTGAGAGAAACACATCGATTGTTACCTCTTGCACGATCCTGACCGAAGCCCAGACCGGGGAGGAGCCTGCAACCCAGGTACGTGCCCTTGACGGGGAATGGAACCCAGGACCCTTCCGTCTGCAGGCCCACACTCTATCCACTGAGCCAAACCGGCTAAGGCTCCCGGTGAATTTTTTGATGCACAATTAGGCAGCTCTTACTGTTTGTAGTCACTTCCTCCTTACCATTCACAGCTCTGTAGAGTGGGGACTGACTGAGTCCTGAGCCCTTATTTATGAATGGGGAAACTGAGGCCTAGGGAACTTAAAAATCACTGATGAAGGTCACCAGGCACAGTCAACTCCGTCCTTAAGTGTTGGGGGCCGAGGGCTGCATTATTGAGCTGACCACTGGTTTTTATTCCTGGTCAGCCACTCACACTCCACCAAGGCTGTCCGGTAAGTTGGGCAGACCAGGGCTGTCTGTCCAACCTTCCCAGGCCTGGTGGTGGACAGGCCTCAGTTTTCCTGGCTGGTAGAGGCTGGGTTGTCATTTATTGAGGCACCGTGGTGCTGGTGTTGAAAGGTGACTATAGCCAGCCAGCCAGCCTTTGGGAGGCAGGAGGAGGAGGGAAAGATGTGGCAATCACTCTTGGGTGACTCCTGGGAGGCAGGAGCATGAAGAGGTGTCCTGGAGAAACGTAAAAAAATATATATATATATATATATATATTGATTTCAGAGAGGAAGGGAGAGGGAGAGATAGAAACATCAATGATGAGGGAGAATCATTGATTGGCTGCCCCCAACTGGGGATCAGATCAAGTCCACAACCCAGGCATGTGCCCTTGACCGGAATCGAACCTGGGATCCTTCAGTCCAAAGTCTCACGCTCTATTCACTGAGCCAAACCAGCTAGGGCTGGAGAAACTTCTTGACTGCTTGATAGTCTAGGGCAGCGGTTCTCAACCTGTGGGTAGCGACCCCTTTGGGGTTTGAACGACCTTTTCACAGAAAACACATATATAATTACATATTGTTTTTGTGATTAATCACTATGCTTTAATTATGTCCAATTTGTAACAATGAAATTGGGGGTCACCACAACATGAGGAATTGTATTAAAGGGTCGCGGCATTAGGAAGGTTGAGAACCACTGGTCTAGGGGAATATCAGATCGGGGGAGGGGGAGGGGTGTGTCCTTCTTGCCACCCAATTCCTGGTGGTGGAGATGGGGCAAGACCTGATTGTGGTGGCACATTGTCCAGCTGGGGGCCTGCACTTGAGTCTGGGGCATTAGGGAGCCACCGGAGAGGTTAGAACAGGCAAGAGGGGTTGAGCATGCTAGGTGCTGCTCAGAGACTCATACTCATATTAACTTGATACCACAGCTCTACCGGAAGGGTGGGGCTGTTCATATCCCCATCGAATAGTTAGGGAAACTGAGGCACGGAGCAGGCAGTTTACTACAGAACTCAAGGGGCTCACCACTTGGGGTGCTCTATTAAAAAACGAGACGTGGCCCTACCTGGTCTGGCTCAGTGGATAGAGCATTGGCCTGTAGACTGAAGGGTCCCGGGTGCCCGGGGTTTCGGGCTCAATCCCCACTAGGGGGCGTGCAGGAGGCAGCCAATCAATGATTCTCTCATCATGGATGTTTCTCTCTCTCTCTCTCCCTCTCCCTTCCTCTCTGAAATCAATAAAAAATATATATATTTTTTAAATATATTTTATTGATTTTTTACAGAGAGGACGGGAGAGAGATAGAGAGTTAGAAACATCGATGAGAGAGAAACATCGATCAGCTGCCTCCTGCACACCTCTTACTGGGGATGTGCCCGCAACCAAAGTACATGCCCTTGACCGGAATCGAACCTGGGACCTTTCAGTCCGCAGGCCGACGCTCTATCCACTGAGCCAAACCGGTTTCGGCAATAAAAATATATTTTAAAAAAAGGCGACATGATGGTCACAAGGTAGTTTTGTTTACTTGCAGCAGGAAAAAGAGCCAGAGGATTCCTATCCAAAGCTCTGCCTCCCCAAAGGGAGGCCGAGCCATTGCTTTTATACACGATTTGGTCAATTCCATGTTGATTTCTTCTCTGCAGTTGGCTACACTTATGGGTTGGGTTCCTGTCAAGTTTATCCTGTTTACAACTGGTTTACAAAATACTGTGCTATATATATTTTACCATTTACCAAGAATAGCATTTAGTAAGAATGGCTCAGACCTTGAGACCCTTGTCCTATCTAACAATTCCCCCAGGAGATTTTTTTACGCCTCATTTTTGAGGGAATAGGGACAAGGGTCATACTTCTGTAACTTTTCTGCTGAACATGGACCAAGTATGTCTTTGAGTTAGAGGAGTGAAATTATCCGGCTGCCTGACTTAAGAAAGCCATGGGGTCCCCTAGGTTTTGAGATTCCTGAGAACAGGAATGGATGGAGAGAGAGCACGACGCCAACAGGAGACAGGAGCCATTAGAGGTGAGGCAGAAGTAAGAGGGGAAAAGCAAGGAAACTGAAATCCTGCCACTTACAAACTCACACTCTGGGGGGGATCTAATGAGCCAGACGGAGTAGAGTGACAGCTTGCCTAGGTAAGATGTCAGCAAGCTAGGCCACCTTGTCCAAGACTTTGAAGGACAGGTGGGATCTGGGCAGGATGGAGCACAGTCACTCCAGAGCGGGTAGGGATACCAGCTATGACAGCTGCGCTCAATATCTAGTCGGTGTCCCATGGTTTTTCAAGCACAGAGATGCTTGCTACGTGGCCGAGTGAAGAGCTGCATCTCACAAGGCACCTTGGCCTGGGGAGGGGGGCCAGTTTGGGAGGAAGTCCTGGCACAGCCTTCTGAATCAGCTGCGCACCAGAGAAAAGCCCCCCCACCCCACCCCGTGGTGGTAGGAGGCACTCCCGGGGACCACAAACTCTGTGTGTGCATTGCAAGTAAGGTCAGACACGTGAGGCCATGCTCTTCAGGCCAACACAGCACAAGGCCCTCCGTAATCAGACATCCTGCTGGATACCGTCCCCGAGTCAGCCAGCTAGACAGCTGCAATTCAGAGACTTAAAACCCTCCTGAAAATCAGGATACGGGAGAAGCACTCGCTACCTCTTCGTCATCCAAACCGACTGCCCCGTCGGCGCCGGGATGGACCTTGAGATGAGCAGATCACCTGAGGTCTACAGAACCCGTAATTTCCATCTTTCACGACTGTGGCTCCTCCACCCCTTGTCCCCAGTCGGGAAACATGAGGAGCTCAAGTCTAAGAGTGAAGGCAGGAAACAGGTTGTAATGAAACAGGAGGGAAAAGTAAGGAGAGTCGGCAATGCCGTGAGGAGCTGCTCACAGGAGGCACCGAGCACCCTCGCCTCCCCTCTGGCTGCAGACGCCCACGTTAGCAGTCTCCTACCGCAGCTGCAGACCCCGGACCCCGGCTCCTCTCAGTCCTCCGGCGCCTGGACTATTAGAGAAGATGAGCTGAGAAGGCCTCCCCAGGGCTTGCCCCCACGTTCCCGACAAACGTGACCGTGAGAGGCAGGACAGGCCCAGGATGCCGGGTTTAAGAGCTTGCCTCACGCCACAATTCACACCCAACCTGCTAAGAAGAAGGGACGGGGTGGTGTGGCCTCACCGTATCTGACTCCCTCCCAGATCACACCTTAGCAGGGCTGTGTTCTGTTCCTAAACTCCCATGGCTGCCTCTGGCTGTGACAAAACACTGGGCTGCGCCACCTGGGGCAAGTGCCTGGGTCAGCCCACTCCACTGGCAGCCAGAGGCTCCCAAAGCCACAGGGGCCTGTGCCCAGGCTGAGTGGGGGCCACTCCCCAAGGAAGAGAGCCCACCCTTTTGGCTTCTGTGACTCAAAATACACACATGTGGTTGATTCTACTCGCTTCATGTTGCAAGTCCATTAAAGCTAACTCAAGCTACTTTTTTTCTTTTAATGTCAATTCCTTTTTTTAAAAAAAAAAAATGTTTTTAATGATTTTTTAAAGAGGAAGGGAAAGGGAGAGAGAGAAACTTTAATGTGAGAGAGAAACATTGATTGGTTGCCTCCTGTATGCACCCCAACTAGAGATCAAACCACAACCTGGGTACTCGCTGACCGGGAATCGTATGTGACCTCCTGGTGCATGGGACGATGCCGAATCCACTGAGCCACACTGGCCGGGCGAACATCTCTTTACACCAGTGAGACTCTTGAAGAGATGTGGCAGGTAATTTTTCCCCCTTATCCTTCAGAGGAAGAAAAGTAGGGGGAATTTTTTTAAAAAATTGATTTCACAGATGAAGGGGGAAAGAGAGAGAGAGAGACAGACGGACACATCAATTAGGAGTCTTATTCAAACAGCCCAGAGATAAAACCAATAATTCTTCCCATATGATCCCAAGCATGTATCTTCACATCATGAGCCAGAGATTGGCCCCTGAGTCCCGCAGCCAAACCTTTGCCGCTCTTGCTCGTCCCAGATCACCCCCACCGGAAACCAGGAGCTGACTTGCTGGCCCTCCTCAGTGGAGGAGGTGCGGCCCGGTCTGATGGGAGCCTCGTGTTGTTCAGGGAACTGCTGGGGTGCCATTCCCGTTCCCCACCGAGCTCCACTCTGGCTGCAGGAGCTCCAGAAAGTGCCCTCCTGGAGGGGGCAGAGCAGGAGCGGCTGGAGAGAAGCTCCTATGTGGTCAGCAAATGCTGAAACTTGAATAAACAAAAAAACTGCACTTAGAAGATCATGCCTCCTAAATCCAAAATGGAATCCCAGCCTTGAGCAAGGCTGCCTTACGCAGGACAGGCCGTCTCCTAACGTTAGTCCATGTGTTACATTTCTTCATGTATTTTTTTTTAATTTTTTGTTTATTTACTTTTTTAAAATATATTTTATTGATGTTTTACAGAGAGGAAGGGAAAGGGATAGAGAGTTAGAAACATCGATGAGAGAGAAACATCGATCAGCTGCCTCCTGCACACCCCCTATTGGGGATGTGCCTGCAACCAAGGTACATGCCCTTGACCGGAATCGAACCCGGGACCCTTGAGTCTGCAGGCCGATGCTCTACCCACCGAGCCAAACCGGTTAGGGCTTCTTCATGTATTTTAAACGCTTAATTTATTTAAGTCAAATAAACCAAGCTTTTTTTATCCAATTCTGCAGAATGCACCCCACGAGGCTGCATTGGGGGATCATTGGAGTTTCCCACAGCCGACACTTTTACATATAAGGCAAACAAGGCAAACACCAGCGTGCACACAAAGAACAAAATCTCACTCCTGCAGGACAGACAGCCAGACAACCAGACCAGAGATTGCCCCCCAAGGATGTCTTGGGTGCCTCACAGCGTTCCTCAACCCTCCAGAGTTAGCCCCAGGCCAGGCCTTGAATCTGGCATCCCAGAGGTAAGTTCCTGCCCAACCAACCAGAAACCATGCACATACCAACCAAAACTACCTTTCCGACAAGCCTATGCCCCAAACAGGAACAGAAACACCAGTTACAGTGGCCACAGGAGCTGATCTCCCGCGTCCCTTTCGAAGCGCTGAGTGAAGTAGATTCGGGTGTCCATCGGCTTTGTGTCCAGGCAGACCAGGCTGCCGGCTCAGCGGGCAGCACCAAGTGGGAGTATCCGAAGGGACAGATGCTTCGTCCGGTGGAGATGCAGGCACATTAGTCCCAGATGAGAACTGCTGCTGCTGGCCACTTGGCCAAGTGTCCGCACAAGGCCAAGAGGAAATCCGTCTAGAAGGGTCCCATCTGGAGTTGCCAATTTGGTACCGAACTCAAGGGGTTCACCACTTGGGGTGCTCTATTACAAACACGAGACGGCCCAGCTGGGTGGCTCAGCAGTTGAGCATCAACCCAGGAACCAAGAGATCGCTGGTTCAATTCCTGGTCAGGGCACATGCCTGGGTTGCTGGCTTGATCCCCAGTACAGGGTGTGCAGAAAGCAGTCAATCAATGATTCTCTCTTATCATTGATTAGAGGCCCGGTGCACAAAATTTGTGCATAGTGGGGTGTCCCCTCAGCCCAGCCTGCACCCTCTCCAATCTGGGACCCCCTCAGACCCAGGATTGGGCCTAAACTGGCAGTTGGACATCCCTCTCAGTTAGGGGACCACTGGCTCCTAACTGCTCACCTGCCTGCCTGCCTGATTGCCCCTCACTGCCCCCCTGCTGGCCTCGTTGCCCCTCACTGCCCCCCACTGCCGACCTGGTCACTACCAAATGTCCCCCCCTGCTGGCCTGGTCACCCCACGCAGCCTGTTCAGTCATCTGTTTGGTTGTTTTGGCTGTGACAGTTGCTTAGGCTTTTATATATATAGATGTTTCTATCTCTCTCTCCTTCTCCCTTCCTCTCTGAAATCAATATACATATATATTAAACAAGACTTGGCTGTCACAAAGTAGTTTTATTTACTTGCAGCAAGTAAAGGAGACAGAAGATTCACATCTAAGGGAGGCTTAGCCATTGCTTATATACACTATTTTGTCAATTACATGTTGATTTCGACTTTGCTGTTGGCTATACTTGGGTTCCTGTCAAGCTTCTGTTTACAGTTGATCTGCAAAATACTGTGCTACATTTTGACATTTAGTAAGAATAATATTTGGTAAGAATGGCTCAGACTTTGAGACCCTTGTCCTATCTAACAAGTTGGCAGAGTCTAGGCAGGTTCCAGGAGCAGTTGGCAGTAGAGGCCTTGGGCAACTTCTTGTTTTTCACCAGGAGAGGCTGACCCTGTGCTGGGGGTACTGCCAAAGCTGAGGCCCGAGGTCTGAGGGAGGCCCCATCCCCAGCCACCCCCAGCTGCCCTGTCATGCCAGCGCTCAGACTCCCATGCCAGGCAGGCGTGCCCATCCCATGCCAGGCATGTCCATCTCTGCTGGGGGTCCAGTTGCAGAGGGAGAGGCCCAGATGAGAGGGAGCAGCAGCCCATTCCTGTTCCCCTGGCCTTAAGGCTCAGAGAGGGAAAATTACTTGGCTCAGGCCACACCACCAAGGGACTGTTCAGGACCCTGAGCAGTCCTAGAAGGGGGATGCAGACGGCCTGGGGCCACCTGTCTTTTTAGAGAAGGAGTGGGGGGAAGCAGGGGTAGGGATGAGACGAAGGAGTTGTACATGCCCCTACCCCTGGTTCAGCTCCCCCTTGTGGACATCCTCGGGGTAGGGGGGCAGGAAGGCTAAGTCACTGGCCTCCATTCAGCATCAGAGATGGCACTTCTGTGGGGTGCCCTGGACCACACCCTCTGTGCTGACAGCAGCCAGCTGCTTCCAGAGCCGGTGATGAGGGGGCTGCGGGTGCAGATGGTGCCACAGGGGCCGGGGGTTCAGAGTGGGAAGGGTTCGTGGGGAGGGAGGTACCTCAGGATTCATAGGGGGCTGCCTGGTAGATGAGAGGGGAGAGGGTTTGGCAAAAGCGGGGAGGCTCAGGGAAGGGTTAGGGTATTGGAGAGGGAAATGGGGCATCCCAGAGAGGCTCAGGAGAATCTGGAAACAGAAGGTGAGTATAGCTGTGAGGGAAGGAGGCCTGGCCATCCTGGCTGGCCTTTCTTTGGCTCGTGGGCTGGTAATTCTCCACCTTATTTGTCAGCTTGCTCTCAGGCAGTGCCCAGGTCCCAGAGTGGATGTGGAAGGTTGAGTTGGGGCTTTTCCACAAACCCCCAGGGCTGCCCCAGCCTGGTGTCTCCCCCTCCTGCTTTCCACCCACTCCCAGGAGCCCCAGAATCGCCACCGTGGGGCTGGGGGCCTATGACCTGAGGCATCGAGAGAGTTCCAGGCAAACATTCTCCATCAGGAGCATCCGCGAGAATGGCTGCGGCCCTCAGGAGAACTTGAATGGCCTGCTGCTGCTGCAGGTGGGAAAAGGGGTGATACGGGGTGACCGGCAACAGCCTGAGGGCTGGGGAGGGAAGAGCCTGGTGTACACCCGGACTCTTTTCGTTTCCTTTGGTGGATTAAATCATGTAGCAACGTCCACAGACATCCCACAGTCCATTTATTTAGCCTCCTGTTGGTGGACACTTGAGTTGTTTCCAGATAGAATTACAATGAACTTCTCTGTATCTGTTCCCTGAGAAAGTTTCTCCAAGGTAGACAACATAGCTTACCCTCTCCACCAGCAGAATCAAAAACTGCCCCTTTCTCCATAGCTGTACCAACACTGGACATCATGATTTTTTATTTATCCTATTTTTAGGAATTTCCACATTTTAAAAAATATTTTTTATTGATTTCAGAGAGGAAGGGGGAGAGAGAGAGAGATAGGAACATCCATGATGAGAGAGAATCATTGAACGGCCGCCTCCTGCACGCCCCCTACTGGGGATAAGCCTGCAACCCAGGCATGTGCCCTTGACCGGAATCCAACCTGAGACCCTCCAATCCGCAGGCTGACGCTCTATCCACTGAGCCAAACCAGCTAGGGCTGGTTATTCTTTTATTATTATAATTATTAATATATTTTTATTGTTTCAGAGAGGAAGGGAGAGGGAGAGAGAGAGAGAAACATCAATGATGCAAGAAACTCATTGATAGGTAGCCTCCTGCACGCCCCACACTGGGGATCAGCCCGAACCCAGGCGTGTGCCCTTGGCCGGGCCTGAACCTGGGACCCTTCAGTCCGCAGGCCGACGCTCTATCCACCGAGCCAAACCAGCCAGGGCTAGGGCTGATTATTCTTTCTCTATGGTGCAGGAACCAGAGGCCGGAGAGGTAAAGTGACTGGGCCAGGATGCCACAGCAAGTTACTGCCCAAGCTGGGACTTGAACCCAAACCCAAACCATTTTACAGACCAGAACTTATTTTGCTGCCACTCTGGCTCCCAGCTGGGCCTCATGAGGCTCCAGTCCCTCCTGACTTGGTTTCCCTCCCCAGCTGGAGGGTGAGGCCAACTTCACCAGCAGTGTGGCACTGGTACTGCTGCCCTAGCAGAACGCCATGGTGGAAGCCAACCCCAGCTTCCAGGTGGCAGGCTGGGGAATCCAATGGCATAGGCCCTATGCTATAGGGGACTTATCTCCAGTTTCCCAAGGGTCCCCAGTGCCACCATGACCCCCTTGGACCAGTGTCACCCTAACAATGTGTGCACTGGCATTTTTACCTGCTGGGGTGGCATCTGCCAGGTACAGGCCAGGTGCAACCTAGCATGGGCTCCCCGTGGTGGGAGGAGAGGTCTTGAGAGAATGAGTTTCCCGTGGTGGGAGGGACAAGTCCAGGACCAGGGCCTTGATACTGAGTCTGGAATTAGAACTGGATGATTAAACATTTGAGCATTTGAGTAGCGTGAGAACAGGTGGGGTTGGAACAGGCTTGGGGGTGCAGGAGAAGGGCTCAAGTTGTGGGGGCAGCTACCAGCTCAGAGGTTCTATGGGAGTAGCGAGGGGGACTAGGCCTGGGGGCGCCCTGACTGGTCTGCCAACTGTCCAGGGTGATGGGCTGGTGATGGGTGCCCCTCGTCTATAACGGTGTAGCCTCCTCGATGGAGCCCTGTGGCAGGGGCCCCAACTTCTTCACCGGAGTGGCACGCTTCCAAGACTGGATACTGGCCCTAGCCGGTTTGGCTCAGTGGATAGAGCGTCGGCCTGTGGACTGAAGGGTCCCAGGTTTGATTCCGGTCAAGGGCACATGTCTAGGTTGTGGGCTCGTTCCCCAGTAGGGGGGCATGCTGGAGGCAGCCTATCAATGATTTCCTCTCATCATTGATGTTTCTATCTCTCCCTCTCCCTTCCTCTCTGAAATCAATAAAAAATATATATATTTTAAACAGACTGGATACTGGATCGATTCTGTTCTAAACCCCTCAATGGATTAACACTGGCCTGAGAGGCCCTCAGCTTAGCCCGTGGTGGGGGTGGGGGGCTGTGACCTCCCATCTCCAGGCCTGTCCCCCACCCCCACCCCAGCCTGTGCAGTTATGACTCTAATGCAGAAGCCACCCATTCTCTCTGCACCTGACCCCTGCTTTGCCAGGTTGGCAGGGGCTGGGGCAGGAGGTAAGGAGCATTTTCCGGCAGTCGCTGAATTCACTCACAGCACTGAGAACCAGGGGCTGTCCTATCTCCACCTGACAGACGGAGCACCTTACCCACCTCTCACTTTGGCCAAAAGATATTGTGCCGCTAAGTCAAGAGGCACACAAGACACTGGCCTAAGACTGTCACTTGACTCACAGAGGCTAATGTACCTCATATAGAAAGACCTAAAGCATAGCTATTAAATGATAAATACAAAGATATGAAAATAATAAATAGAATCATATATTACAAATATAGTTTATTAAAATAAAATTTAAACAACGTATCATTATTTATTATATACCACTATATATATTTAAAATGTGTACATTTAGCCCTGGCTAGTGTTGACAAATGGTTAGAGCATCGGCCCACACACTGAAGGGTTGCAGGCTCGATCCTGGGCCCCAGTTGGGGTACGTGCGGGCAGCAACCAACTGATGAGTCTCTCTCTCTCTCTCTCTCTCTCTCTCTCTCTCTCTCTCTCTCTCTCATAAACGTTTCTCTTCTCCCCCTCCCTTTCTCCCTTCCACACTCTCTAAAAAAGCAATGAAAAAAATATCCTCAGGTGAGGATTAACAACAAAAAAGTATATATTTAATAATATATAATTATGATTAATATATGAAGAGCAACTAAAATCAATAAGAAAGAAACAACAGCCCAGTAGTAAAAGCAATGGGTACAGGATGTTAGCAGTTCATAGCAAAGAAACAAAAGAATCTTGAAGATACAGAAACACCTTCACCTTCATGCATTATCCTAGAAATATGAGCAAACTTTCTCAAAGAGACCATTTTTTTCCAATCTATGGGATTTGCAAAAGCCCTGGGGTTTGAGAACTCTGTGGGCATCTGCCTGGGTGGGCGGGTAACTGGGACACGCCCACCAGAGGTGGGTCTGGGGCCTCAGAGCCAGCAGCGCCACCCACCACGGGCGGGGGAGGGGGGGAGGAGGGGGAGGGGGGGGGGAGGGGGGGAGGGGGGGGGGGGGGGCGGCGGTGGTAGTGGTTTTCCCCACCGGTCCCTTTGCATCGTTCGGATGACGAGGGTACAAGTTCCTGCCACATGTCTACAAGGAAAAGAGACAGAAAGCAACACAGCGCCCTCAGGAGGAGCCACAGATGCACAAAGGCTGGCCCACTCCCCTGGGGAGTAAGACGCAGCTGTGTAAAAGGTGGAGGCACCTCATTCACCGGCCTAAGGGGTCTTCACGGGACAGTGGAGACGTGGACAAGGGCAGAACAGTGTGTGCACATGTGTGAGTGGCACGTTCGCACCTGCTGGTCGGAGCATCGAGAAGCCAAGAGGATCAGTCAGTTTACTTGCGGGCGGAGGAGTCAGGGATGCAAGGACACTTTCCAATCTTCCCAGGGGAACTTTGTACACATACTTAAATGGTTTGTTTATTTGTTTTTTGTTAATCCTCACCCTAGGATATTTTCCCCCTAATTTTTAGAGAGAGTGGAAGGGAGGGAGGAAGACAGAGAGAAACATAGATGTGAGAGAGACACATCAATTGGTTGCTTCCCGTACACGCCCGACCGGGGCTGGGATGGTAAGTTGAAGAGCAGGACACCTGTTTGTGCTGGAGGGAGCCCGTGATTTGGGTGTCACGCTGCACTGAGGGGAGCGTTCCTGTTGTTGATCTGCGTCCCTAGAGGCAGCCCCTCCATCATGGAATGGGCCGCTAATCGCCTGGGGTTCCGGGTTTGTAGGGGTGTGTGTGCCAGAGCCCACAAAGGCTTTGAATCCTTGGCCAGTAGAAAGGGGCGAAAGCTCTGCCCCAGCTGCCTGGTGTGAGGGTCTGTGGGCTCCATAGCCCCTGCCCCAGTGTGGGTGCCCCAAAGCCGCCCCCTGCCCCCGGGAGCCCCCGGCGCTCACCCAAACTGACCACCAAGTTTGGTTATTTGTGTTGCCATATACTCACCTTCACAAATGGGGAGGTTGAGGCTCAGGGGGGACTCTTAATGACTCAGGAATCTCGATCCTTCCAGGGGCCCTGGCCAGAGCTTAGGGAGGTCAAGCCACTGCCTGCTCATTGTTCAGATGGGGAAACTGAGGTCCAAGGGCTGTTGGGGTCCAAGAGCATATTGTCCCCCAGTTTGAAGCCCCCCACACTGATACACTCAAGAAAATCCTAATTTTCTTTTTTAAGGAGGGAGAGAGAGACTACAGGCTGGGCCTCCTGCTCCCTCTTTCCCTCGGGTCCTGGTGACGCAACAGGCCCGGTTCCTCCAGCAGCGGTTGCCCGTTATGCCACCCACGGTTGGAATGGAAAGGGGCCGGCCGGGGCAACAGCTCCCAGCCCCCACTTCCCTTCCACCTGCCAGCGGGATCCCCTGCCAGAAGGTTCATTCCTATTGCACTGCCCCAGGCTCTCCACAGCCCCCAGCTTCTGCCCTGGGAGCTTTCCCTCACCCCCTGCCCTAGGCCTCCAGGCAGCCCCCGCCCCCGCCCCCGCACCCACCTGCCTGTCCCCCAAGCCTTGGTGTGTGTGCACCTGGAACAGAGCGCTTGGAGAAGGGCACCCGAGACCCCCCAGGGAGGCCCCCCCTTGGTGGGTGAGTTATCTAGCAGGTTTGTGTGTGTATCTCATTTTGTTGTTGGTGAAGTTTTATTGAAATACACTTTATAAACCATAGGACTCGCCCATTTAACAATTCAGTGATAGTTGATGCATTCACAATATTGTGTAACCACCACCTCTCTCTAGTCCCAGAACATTCCTTCACCCCGAAAAGAACTCCCCCCTCCCCATATGCAGCCACTTCCCATCTCCCTCCCCCAGCCCCTGACAACCACCAACCCACTTCCTGTCTCTGGATCAGCCTGTTCTGGACATTTCACATAAACGGAATCACACAGAATTTGTCCTTCTGTGTCTGGCTTCTCTCACGAGCACGTGTTTTCAGGGTTCATCCACATCGTAGCAATGTCAGAGCCTTGTTCCTTTAACCCAGGGTCAGGGGATTCCGGGACCCCAGGAGACTCTGCTGTTTAGTAACCATCTGACCACGGAGGTCCTGGGAGGCTGCCCACACAAAATATGCAGCCTGAGTGGGAGGGAGGGGGAGGTGACTCACAGATGCGAGGGTCACCCTGGTTTACATCGTCTGAACATCATGATTTATTCTTGTGTCTACTGTGAGCAGGGAGTGAAATCAAAATGTTCCCAAATAGCCCTGACTGGTTTGGCTCAGTGGACAGAGCGCCGGCCTTCAGACTGAGGGGTCCCGGGTTCGATTCCGGTCAAGGGCATGTACCTTGGTTGCGAGCACATCCCCAGTAGGGGGTGTGCAGGAGGCAGCTGATCGATGTTTCTCTCTCATCAATGTTTCTAACTCTCTATCCCTCTCCCTTCCTCTCTGTAAAAAATCAATAAAATATATATACTTTAAAAATGTTCCCAAATAATTAACTAGGGTTTCTCCACTATTTACACGGGGGGAGGGGGTGCAGATCGCCCCTGGGGAGCTGTCCTGGGCATTGTGGGGGGTTGAGAATGGTCCCTGGCCCCACATACTCCATACCAGGGGCATCCCCATCAGCCCTGCTGACCTTCACAATGTCCCCAGACAGTGTCCCCTGGGGCAACCCCCACCCGGGTAAGAGCTCTGCCTTAGAGGGAACAGTGAACCCTCTGCGTCCCAGGAGGGCGCATGGCTCTGTGGCCCCACCACTGTTTCCTGTGCTTTCCTGTCCCCAGGCGTGGGGCTCACACCAGCACCTGGACATGCTGGCCACCGTCCTCTCAGGCCGAAGGGGCCTGTGGGGGAGGCACGGAGAGCGGTGTGTGTGCCCCTCTGAGCCTGTGCCCTGCTGGCCCTTGTCCCGGGGACCCAGGCACGGGGTGGGCAGGAGATAGTGTCTCACACTCGCAGGGGAGTTGGAACCCTGAGCCAGATGCTCCCTGTCCCCCTGGAGTGTGGTTTGGCCCCCAACTCCCTGCGGCCCCAGGTTGAAAGGAGGAAGTAAGGACACCCAGTCCAGGCGTGGGGCAACCCCAACGGCCTCCAGGTCTCGGGCTATAAGAGGGGTTGGGAGGCAAGGGAGCCCCCACCCAACCATGACCCAGAGCCACCGGCCCTCCCACCCTGCCCTGGCCCTTGTCTTGCTGGCCACGCTGCTGGGCGGTGAGTGGGGCCACATGTTGTCCATCCAACTGCCCAGGCCTTGCTGATTCTGGGGAATATCCACCCACAACAGCCAGCCCAGCACCCTCACCGCACAGATGGGGAGACTGAGGCAGGGCCAGGGCAGGACCCATTTGCTGCCTGGAATGAATGCCTCCAGGGCAGGGGGGAGCTCTGGGACATGGGACTCGGTGTCTGCCCAGTGCTTCCCTCCCAGCGAGGTGGGTGGGGCTGCACGCAGCAGGGAGAGTGACAGCCGCCGCCGATGCCCCTCGTTCTCAGGTGCAGCATGGGCTTCGGAGATTGTGGGCGGGCGGGCAGCTCAGCCCCACTCTCGGCCCTACATGGCGTCACTGCAGATGCTGAATGCCCACTTCTGTGGAGGCACCTTGATCCACCCGAGTTTCGTGCTGACCGCTGCTCACTGCCTGGCGAAAATGTGAGTGCCCAGGTGGACCTGCCCTGGGTCTGATGGGGGAGGTGGCACTGCCCTGGGTCTGGTGGGGGAGGTGGCCCTGCCCTGGGTCTGATGGGGGAGGTGGCCCTGCCCTGGGTCTGGTGGGGGAGGTGGCCCTGCCCTGGGTCTGATGGGGGAGGTGGCCCTGCCCTGGGTCTGATGGGGGAGGTGGCACTGCCCTGGGTCTGATGGGGGAGGTGGCCCTGCCCTGGGTCTGATGGGGGAGGTGGCCCTGCCCTGGGTCTGATGGGGGAGGTGGCCCTGCCCTGGGTCTGATGGGGGAGGTGGCCCTGCCCTGGGTCTGATGGGGGAGGTGGTCACTGCCCTGGGTCTGATGGGGGAGGTGGCCCTGCCCTGGGTCTGATGGGGGAGGTGGTCCTGCCCTGGGTCTGATGGGGGAGGTGGCCCTGCCCTGGGTCTGAGGGAGGCTGTAACTGAGGGAGCTGCATCTGGTGCTCAGGGTGCCCATGGGGTAAGGAAATGGGTGGATGGGGGAGCAAACAATAAGCACCCCGACCTCTCAGGCCCATGGCCCTGGTGAAGGTGGTGCTCGGGGCCCACAACCTGCAGAACGCCGAGCCCAGCCAACAGAAGTTCTCCGTCACTCGCCAGTTTTCCAACAACTATGACCCAGAGCGTATTCACAATGACATTCTCCTACTGCAGGTGGGTGGGCGGAGCCCGCAGGACCGGTAATTACCCCTTCAGTCACCTTTAGCAAACATGTATTGAGCACCTACTGTATGCCAGGCCCCTGCCGGTGCTGGGACATAGCCTGGTACACAGTAGGCCTGGTAAGGAGAGGGCCATTCAGACAATAGCCCCACAAATGGCTGCCCCACCTGCCTCTGACCTGGCCGTGCCCCTTGCCCGGCACCCATCCTCGCAACATCCTCACCCCCGACCTCAGCGCCAACCTCACCTTCTCAGCGAGAGCTCCCCTCACCCTAGTGGAAAGACAGCCACCCCTCCCCTGATGCACGGTTCACCATCTCGCCATTTCCCTCGACAATGCATCTGTCACTCTCCTGGCCTCTCCCGCTCCCTGAAAGGTCAGCTCCTCGAGGGTTTAGCAGAGGACTAAGCATACAGTTGGCACTCAATGAGCGCTTTGTGAGTGGATGAAAACCACCATGACAAATGCTGCAAATGGGAGGCCCATGGTGTCAGAGAATGTAAAACAGCCCTGGTGGGGTTGGAGGATCAATCAGAACAGGCTCCCTGGAGGAGGTGACCCTGAGGTAGAACCTGAGAGTGAGTGGGAGGGGGCCCAGAGGAGGCACTTTGGGGTGGTCAGGATGTGAGTGGATGTGAGAGGGGGTGGCTATGGGGCCTGGAGACAGGATCTCACTGCCCACCTCCTCTCCCTCTGCCCCAGCTGGACCGCCCTGCCAACCTCACCGCCCAGGTCGCAGTGGCGCAGCTCCCGGAGCAGGACCAGCTGCTGCCCCACGGCACCCAGTGCCTGGCCATGGGCTGGGGCCGCCTGGGCACCATGGAACCACTGCCCCAAGTCCTTCAGGAGCTTAACGTCACCGTGGTCACCTTCCTGTGTCGGCCAGAGAATGTGTGCACCTTCGTTCCCCGGCGCAAAGCTGGCATCTGCTTTGTACGTACCTGCCCGGCTGCCAGCTCCCTGGGCCGCTGTGGATGGCAGAGAGGGCTCCAGGAGCTGCCCACAGGAGGGAGGGCGGGGGTGGCAGCAGTTCAAACCCACCTCCTCCCCACTGAGCAGCTGCAGGCTGTGCCTTGGTCTCCTGTCGGGAAGAGGGGTGCCCCATCGTGAGGGCTCAGCAAGGGATGGAGAACAGCCTCGGCTCCCACAGGCACCCAGGGGTGCTCATGTCGTACCCGGTTGCCTTGGTGGGTCCAGGGATTCTCCCACTCCGGGGCCCCCTCTCGGACCTGCCCAGCTCACTCCAGGGGTCCAGGGATATAGCAGGGGCCGTAAATGCCCACCCCCCTCCTGAGTGGCCCATCTCCCTCTGTCGCCCACGGGCCTTAAAGAGAATTCCGCACTGGAAACATGTTACCACTAACTGGCATTGGGCTGCCACCAGCTTCACTTTGCCCGACGTGGCCACGTCCGGGGTGACTGACCAGCCTGTTCCCGCCCTTCCCAGGGGGACTCTGGCGGCCCCTTGATCTGCGACGGCATCCTCCAGGCCGTGGACTCCTTCCTCGTTCGGGAGTGTGCCAACCGCCAGTACCCGGACTTCTATGCTCGAGTTGCCCTCTATGTGGACTGGATTCAGTCTGTGCTGAGAAGTGTGGGGGGTGAGGGCCGCTCCTGAGCCCCTTCCCCCGGGCCCCCCCACGGGCTGAGGCCAGAGAACAAGCCCTAATGGGGGGAAGGGAGCCGGTGCCCAGCCTCACGGTGACGTCAATAAAAACTGAAACCCTCCTCTGGCTCCTGTCTGTCCT